ACCTCAACAGAAGCAAATCTAAGAACTCAGTTTTGTAGAAAATAATTTTTTTGTTTCTACATTTGCTTGAAGATTGGAACTGTAATTCAGCAAAATGCTGAAGCATGTCCATAAAAGCTATTAATTTCCCTAGAGCTTTAAAACCAAAATGTTTTATAGGACCAAAAATATATTAAACATAAGAATAATAGTATTTCAAAAACATAGTTGTACCGAACTCAAGACAAGCACAGCTGCTTTGTAGCCCTGGGAACTTTGATACCACCTACCACAGTGACACTGTAGTGACTCTTTCAACAATGAAGGTGATGGCAGCTTCCATGAATACTGTTTTTTCCCTATTTAGATCTGATCTAACTTGCTGGTGGGTGAGTTTCTCAACCTAAAGATATTCAGCCTTGTTAGAGGAGAAAATGAAGTGTTCAGCTGGAAAAACTGGGAATTCAGTCAGGGAAAGTACAGCAGTAATAAATACAGGAGAATTACAGGAAGTAACGAGCACAGGGAAGACACATGAAATACAAACGGGTTAAATTTAAGATTGTTTATGACCTTCTGTCACTTTGGTTCACAGGATGTATTTGCAGGAAGCTGGGCTAGGGGCAGTTCTCCACTACTAAAATAAAGTTTTTCTCTGCATTTTGCATAAAAGCAAATAGTTGTCTGTCACAATACTCTGCAGTTTTACTTGTGTGTTTACCAGTTCCTCAGTTCTGGGAATCGAGCATTTCTAATGCAAAGATGTGGTTAAAACCAGAACTTATTTCTGCAGCCTGTTGAATGGCTTAGAAAACTTAAGGATAAACTGGCTCTCTAAGCATATCTTGCAAGCTCCATTAGTCTAAATGCTTTCAACAAACAAGGTCAAAAAAGCTCAATTCAAGATTCAAAAGATTTTCCATCACCATCACCTTTCCTGGGAGCTGCACCACGGGGCTGTTTCACTTGGGGTGCAAATATGTCTGTGGAAAACAGTCACATATCCACCTCTGCAGGGTTAATGGAGATTAAAAACTCCACTGAGAAGCTGGCAGTGCTTGCAACTCACGTGAGTGTCTCTCACAAACTATGCCAAGGGATCCAGTTTCTGCCATATTCTGCATCTGCCAAGTGCCAGATTTTCACAGAATTTTTGAACTTTACAAACACCCACGACTGTAAAGGAAATGTAATAGTAGCAGAGCTCCCGTACCTTGAAAGGTTCCTTAATAAGTGCATTTAAAGTTAACAAGTTGTTTCTCTGAGCTGCCAGCTTTAAACATGCAGTTTAACGTATTAGTGAAAAAGCCAGTTCTCTCCTCATGTTTTATAAAACCCTAGAGCTAAATTACACCTTCATGAGTATTAGTGAAAAAGCCAGTTCTCCCCTCATGTTTTATAAAACCCTGGAGCCAAATTACACCTTCATGACACTTTTTTCTACCCCCATGACCTCAGACTGTGGTTTTGATAAAATTCTATGAATAACCAATAGAATCAAATTATAAATTAAAACCCAGTCATTCAAACAAATCTCAGATTGCTTAAGTCCAATAAAAACAGAAAAATCCTGTTCACATTTTCACAAACAATCCTAACCACACATATAAACCAAAGACATGTCACTCCCTTTCTGCTTCACTGCTCAGGCCAGCCGGGGGGAATCACAAGGCTATGACCATTTCAGACAAGTCACTGTAATATTGATTTTGCCTCTGCTCCAGCTTATCCAGAAAGTGCCCTATTGATTTTGAAGGAATTATTTGTGGACTACTAGGCATGAGAAGAAAAAAAAGTGCATGTCCTGATTGCTTAGTGGCACTCCACGTTAGGTTGCACTTGTATCTGTCTTGCACACACATTCAAAACTGACCATATCTACTAGAGTAAATAGTGTTGCCAGAGTGTGAGCAGAAAACATAATATACAAATGTAAAATGTGGTTTGATCATCTCCACATCTAGACAGACAACTATTACCATGCATGTAGAAACTTTCACAGAAGCCTGCTTTATACCCAGCCTGGAGTCAAAGGCACTCTTGTGACATATAACAACACAATCTGACACATGCAAGTTAAAAATTTGATATAAATAATTTAGTTTGAGAGGGAAAGGTTATGTTGGTTTTGTTTGTTTTTCAATAAAATCTATTTGTTTCATTTACAAATATACCTGTGTTTACCACTGTGTGCCTTTTTCTAAATTTTGCCCTTGTTCCTAGCCCAGAACTGGTCAATTTATGTTCCTGGACTTCACAAATACTTCTTCAAAGGAGTGCTGACAGCTTACTGGTTATGCTGATTCACTCGCTTCATTTGTTCAACACATCATCTGTCCAGTCATTTGTCATTGTCCTGACCACTGTGTTCAGTCAATAAATCTTTACTGGAATAAATTGTTTTGCATGTGAGTGATCTCTTGATTCAAGTAGTATTTCTCTTCAGTTTATATGTATGTTATCATCATCTCCTCTATCCACCTCCCATTGACTTTCACTGCAAGCAACTACTGGCTAATACAGCATATTTCCTTTAACTAAAAAGGAACCTAAAGAAAAAGCACATCTGACACAGGAAATGTTCCCCAAGGAAACATTATTTAATCAACTAAATTCTGAGACCACCACTCAGGTATTACTTGCTGAAGAACGCATCCAATCCTGGTTTCCTCTCAGTTTTCAGAAAGGCAGAGGATGTGGTGGAGAGCAGAGTTACAGGCTGGACTAGAATTAAGAACTTAAAGAAGACAATCTCGGTAGTCCAGGCTAATCTCTAGCCCTCTTCTCCATAAACTGAAAACAGCCACTGACCTAAGCTATTAGTAATTCGATAAGAACCCTCACAATATTTGCTACAAGGAAATGGAAGTCTCCCAAAAAGTTTATTCCCTTCTAAGAAATGACAGACAAAGATCAAGCTGGGGGAAGTTGGCAGATGGACAGATGCTGCAATATCTCTGTTCTGAGATACTTTCAGATTAAATTCTTTGTAAGGAGATCAAACAATCCTAATAGAGAAAGGACAGTACTTTGGAAGAAGATGATAATTCTCCAGTTTTACAAAACATTTAGTCCTTAGGTAGAGCAGTTCCTTCCAGCATGTCTTGGACCATGAAAATTAACAGATCACTAAATCTGGAAGTTGGCCTAAAACCTCACACTTCGAGAAAAATCTCTCCTTCTCAGTCAGGGTTATTGTTTTGGTCATCAGTAACCATTAAATCCTGCCTTGTAATTATTGTTCCATAATTCACTTACATAGTTACATAGTTAAAATATTTATTTGATGGACATTATTACAGTAGAGCAATTTGCATATATTTTTATCAAATTAATAACTTGCTATATCAACAAAGTCATTATTAAAAAACCATATGTTTATACTACCCTTCTGTTACTAAAACTGACCAAGTTGAGGATCAGCCAAAGACAACCAACTGAGGAAGAAGCAGAGAAAAAGAGCTGCATAAATATTCAAAATGCGGTATAGCAGGCAGGTGAGGGAAAGGGGTACTAGAAACCCTGTGAGAGGAAGGATCATTTCCAAAGGCAGATTGAGAGGTTCCTGTCTCATCCAAAGTACCTTTTCGGGAAGTTTAAAACTTGGAAAGCTCCATAAATAACAGTATCTTTGCATGCTGTGTTGTCTAATGAGTCAGGTTTCTTCTGCATCTTTGATTAGCTAAAGAAGAGCTCTATGCACAAGGTTTTCAGAAAGATAACATCTCTTGACAATTTCTTTTGACAACTCAGTGCACTAGATTAAGATCAGCATTACAGCAACATTGCATTACTCTTTCAGTTTTACGCCTTATGCAAAACTTGGTGTTTCTTTAGAGCTATGTATAAATCACACGTAAGCATATAAAAAAATTATACAACAAATATAATACTTTTGAAATGGTTAAATTCTTCCCCACCTCCCAAAATATGCTGCCAGAACAACTATCAGTTCCAGATGAAGAGTTACTACAGCACCACGTTTGCAAAAAAAAAGAACAATTCTCTATTTTTGTTAAGGAGAAAAAAAAATGGGTGAAAATATCCTGCCATATTATTTTTCTCCTGCTGATAATCTAAGTTTTTCATAGTTGTTATTTTTAGAGGAAACATAATCAGTAAACTAGCAGCACAATATCTGTGCAAGACATCAAGCTCTGGTTTATGTGTTACAAATTTATATTGTCTGTGAAATTTAAATTATACATACATTTCTTAATTGTTGACTAAAATACATTCCTTTCAAGTGGACAGTTAGTAGTAGTAACCAAATTTGACCTTGATTGTAACAAAATATGTAGTTTTAATGTTACCCTCAATATTACATTTCCAAAGCTGTTACAGAGGAGACCAGAAAAGTGGAATAAATAACAGATTATAATGAATTAAAAAATTACTCCGAGCAACTGTAGTTCAGGCAATGGGAAGAAAAGATAATGATTTGTGGCCTGCACAGCTTTGCTCCCCTCATCTCCTGCATATGTTTTTATGGCAAAGGGAAGGAGAAGAAAGTCTTGGAAATGAGACTACAGTAGATATATATAGACCAGGCAGTCAGGGAGCAACTAATAGTGCAAATGGGGAACAGAGCAAAAGGAAAAAAGGAAAAGTTAGCAGCAGAGTGAAAAAGGAGAATAGAGTTGTAAGGAAGGCTTTACTCATAGCTTTTAAATGTGACCAAGCACCATCACTCTTTGCATATTAGTAAAATAAAAAACTGTGAGATTTTCCTATGGTTAAAATATAATCATATCTGCTTTACTCCAAATACAAAGTTCTGTGTTATCTGCATATTTCTGAACACAAGGAAAAAAGCTCATGACACTTAGTGCTGCTACATGGGAACACTGTTGGCAAGTAAATGAAGAAAAATCAGGTTACACAGAGTAAACTGATATCTCAGGACAAAAACCCTGACCAGAAAGCGGAAGCCCAACTACAAGAATGAAGATTATCTGCCCAAAAGAGAGGACAACACCATGGAAAGAGTACAAGACAGGCAGAAGCAGATGAAAACTCACCACTGGAGCAGTTGGGTCCTCCCCAGCCAGGCTCACACTGACAGGTGTTCGGAGCAATACAACGACCGTGGACACATTTATCAGCACAATGAGCTGTCAGGAAAGAAAATAAAAAATTAAAACAATTAAAGAACACTTAGCACTAAAAAAAAATAAAATTTAAAAATATTGCAAAATACTCCTGATCCAGATCTTTTTTGTCTCAAGTATCTTTTAAAAGCAAAATAAACATCAGTGTACTAAAGTTTGATGGCATCTCTTCAAAACACATTTCACTTCAGTCTTATCTATTTCTCCTAAGTTTGAAGGCTCCAACTAAAACCATGTTAGTGTTACTCAAACATTTCTGCATTTAACAACAAGAAAATTGTACACATTTAATGAAAAAAGAGTCACAGTATGATATAGGTTGGAAACCCATCTGACCATGGTCCTGGGCAAGAGTCTCTGGTTGGAATTTGGACAGGATGACTTTCCTTCCAATCTCAACCACTCTGTGATTCTCTGAAGAAAATTCTCATTACAAGAAAAAGAGGTGAATGCCAGCAAGCATGAAAAGAAATGCTCTTTTGCAACAACAAGGATAAAATATGATTTGCAACACACTGGCATTTTAATACCAATTTTTCCAAACAATTGCACAGTTCAAATGAAGCATAAAAGAAACAGTGATGGTGATTGAAGTAAGGTATGAGATATAAGCCCTCTGAATCACTGCAACCTTTATTCTAAGTGCTAAGCAGAGCTGCCTGAAACTTTTCTTTTTTTTTTTTTCACTTTTTTTTAATGATTTACAAACATGAGTTTCTAAGTTAAGGTTTACTTTGAAACAGAGCTTTTATCTGAAACTTCTAAGAAAAAGTTGAAATGGCTTTGATACTTGGTATATCCATATAACTGACCCAGAATATAGTACACCAAAGAGGAAGAATCTCCAACTAGTAACCATTTGCTGGCATCATATTAATCACAAAACACCCTTAGCCTTCCAAAATACATCCACAGTAGTACTTTCCTTTTACTTTGGACAACAGTAAAACTTAAAATATGTTCACAAGAGAATTTTATTGGTACCAACATTTCTAGAGAAACCTCGACAGGAATCTACTGTTATACCAAAAGAACAATAGAAAAAAATTTAATGGGGCTACATGTAGATCAACTTTACTTCTGAATTGATTGAAAATTCTCTATAGTACTTAGGTAAAATACTTGTAAAATGTTCTGGGGTTTTTTCCTAATTAAAGATGATGAAGCACATTGGTCATCTTTACATTTTGTGTGGCCAAGAAAAAAGAAAAGCCCACAGAGATCAATCACATATATCCTAAACATCTTTGGTTACCTATGATTTCAGTAATTAATTGCTTATTTTTACAGCCTTTAATTTTAATTGTCAACTTTTAGTTCTAACAAGCAACTTTTAGATTTGCATTCTTCTTTAGAAATCAACAGGAAGAACATTAATTTTTAAATGATGAAACTATATAAACGCAAAGCTATTTCATTGTTCTCTGTTTATTTATTATTGAAAGACTCAGTTTAAATAATACATCACAATTTTCCATTAGTCTTATAACTTGACATGAATTACTTGTATCCTTGAAGATTCATGCTTAGTTAGTACTGTCTGGGGCACCAAAGGTCTCCACAAACCAAATCTGTGAAAAATCTTGTCAGCAAACCATGAGACAAAAATAAAACTGTTGTAAGAAACTGGACCCAGTGAAAGGCACCGAAGAAGCTCTTGGAGCATCTCCTTGCACTGCCCCTCATGCCATGCTGAACACAGCACACTCTGGGTTTACATAAAAATATATTCTGTAACCAAAATAAATTGTTCTCTAGACACCTTTTGGGCTAAACGATTCTTGACAAATGAATCCTAGTTAATATCTGTAACACACAGCATGTGTAGAAATATTATTGCACTAGACGTGGGGATAAGAGACCCAAAATTTACTAAATTATCTACAAAAAAGGTGACGAAGACACAAAAAGCACTAGAACAAGCTGAAAAGACAGGAATGGTATCAGGAACAGATAAACTATTTTCTCTTGCATTTCTGTGGAATTGCTGGACATGATGTCACCTCCAAGAGCAGGTTCTCTTACCCCCCTGTCTAGTGCAATAATTTTTTTACATATGTTGCCTGTTACAGAAACAAAGCTTGAAACATTTTGGCAGTAATTATGCACATAAAGTAAATGACCACAACTCCCTCAAAATTAATTAAAATAAACATTTATGGTGAAAAAAATTCAAATATATTTTAAACTATATAATAAACATGTTTTTTCAAATAAATTCTTCACATCTATACTGCATGTTAGAACACATCATTTTTTCCTGTGCTTGATGACTGTATGTTATTAAAATGACATATCCAGTTATGCATTAAGATAGATGATTCATTGTCTATTTCATGTTTTGTGGAAACAGGCAAAATTCTCCATTAATGTTCTACACTGTTAGAAATTGTATGTGAAGTTAATGTTCAAGCTACCAAAATGCTGCTAGGATCACTCTACAAGAAAGCCAACAGAAGACACCTTAAAACCTTTGAATTCTTTCTGTCCAAAATCATGCCAAAAATTCAATGGACCTAGTAAACATTAAAAAAAAAAAAAAAAGACTGCACTTTTTGTTAAAACTTCTAGTCTGTAGCTCAGCCTAACACCCATATACCAAATCTCCTAGGGATTACCACTGATATTAGAAGACAAGTGACAGGAAATTCTTTGCAATAAATAAGAGATGAATCAATCATTCAGCCTGGTATAGAGTTTCTAAGGCCAGGAGTAAGCTCCTTTATAGAATTCCACAGAATTATTCTACCTTTATATCTGCATATATGCTGCAATCAGATCACCTCAGAAAGTTCATCAGATCTAAACATGCACTGTAATTTTTAAGAGCAAAACCAACAACCTGAGCTCCAGTTAACCTACTGTTCTAGGGGATACTGGCAGTAGTGAAGACAGAAGTCAGAAAATTGTACATTATTCATATCCTTTATAAACAGGAGTTATATGAGGACAGTACAAAGCACTCTCTGTTGGTGGGAGCTCCTTACTTAGTAAGTACTAACAGATATCTTCACATTTATAAAACAGTCCAAGTACTGACCTAAAATAATATTGGATTTCAAATTAAAATGTAATTTTTTAACCCATCTGAAGACAAAATGAAATGGCACAACTAATAAAACACAGGATATTTTTTTCTATTGAATGCTGCTTGCCATAATAAACTCAGTGTGCAAGAAAATATATCTATACTGCCCAAAAAGTTACCAAAAAAAAGTGTCTATTGTACTATATATAAACATCACTTTCAACTTTCCTAAGAGGTCCCCTGAAAACCTTCCAAAGGCTGCAGGTGGAGGCTGACTTCTGATGCCACTTTGCTGCTTATGAATAGTGATGTAAATGCAGCATCATTTCAACAAACTCATAAGCAATGGCAAGACAGGTATCTGAGTCGTTTAACAGGGTCTTTTTTAAAATTTATGGTGACTGTATTGGGGCGGTCTTCCTCAGATATCTACTTGTAGTGTGACTAGTTTCTTATTATAATCAATGGCATTTCTCCAAGGAAGAGGATGGTAAAATTCTCCATCAGGGTTTGGACAGTTACAGTACATTTATTTTTACTTTAAATATGAACAAACAGGGCAAAATTTTCCATATGAGTGATTAAAAAAAAAGGCCTTTTTATATATTTTCCATATTCCACACATACTGAATCCAAAGATACAACACAAAAAGAATTCTAATCAAAAAGTAAAAACATAGCACAAGTTTCATGTATTGAAAGTTTTCAGGAAGAAGTGTGGAAGTCAAGAGTCACAAGTTCACAGAAGTATTTTATCCTTAGATGAATTCAAATTTGTCCATTCAGACTGGACTCCAAAAGACTCAAAATACCCTCTAAAATTTTAGCCAGTGCTTTTCTCTGGCTGTTGGTCATTCTTTTCCTCTGTGAGTAGAACATTTACAGACTTTATCAACATGAGGCTGGCACATTCTTGCAATTCCTTAAAAAAAAAATATTAGTTTGACCTTGCTTTCTCATGTGCAGAAAACATGTTAAATCAAAGATTTTACTGCTGCATTCCAGGAAGTGTTGTAAAACAAAGATATAAATAAGGATAATGTGATCTGTTATGACATTCACAGGGTCTGATTTTCCAGGGATACAAATAAACTCTGTCAATTACCTCCAATATGGCACTCACAACAAGTAGAATGGCACAAATTAAGAAACAACCTTGCATTTGTATTGAATAAATAAACTTAATATATATATTACCTGTCCCAAGTTCCCTGCTGTCAGTCCTGACAATAGGAGCACCTAATTCCCAACCAGTAAATGCCGTGTGACTTTGGACAACCCACTGTTAAACGTCCCACCATACAATTCCAGGGCTCTGGATTAACATCTCCTCTCTTTTCATTCTTCTATGCTCTTGAATAAATACCATTTTAAGACCTTTGGTCTATACGATGTCATACAAGAGAGAGAAAGAGAGCAGAGCCAGGGCTGCCTACAGACTCTGGACACAGCTATTTTGGGATAGGAAGATGAGACAGGGGCACACACCACCCGCAACCAGCCACCATCAAACAGTTGTTACAGATCTCTTTATCTACAGGAGAGTCTAAGCATGGGGATTACTGGAGTCTATGCTAAGGAGAAAAAAAACTTGGATTTCCCTCCTGGTTTTAAACCTCGTATTTATTTATTGTGTTGGTTACTTATGACATCTGAGATCCAATTATCCTGTCATTTGCATATGCACAGCACTTCATAACTTCACATGACTTCAGTGAGAGCTGCATGTGTACCACTGATGAATATCTGAGCCCCTAACTCAGCTTCCATGAGTCACTCATCAAAGGGGAGTCAAACCAGCACTGTGATGTAGGTATGGAATTTCAAGGCAAAAAGAGGCTAAACTTACGGACACACATTTCCCTGCTTTCATAAAATCCAGGGCAGCACTGGGATTTGCGCCTGTACATTGTTTTTTCACCATGTCTGTAGGCAGTACGGTAACTGATCCTAAGGAAAGGAAGCAATGGTTTTTACACACAATTCACAATTCAGAAACAAGACAGTATATTTTCTTACACATTTTAAAAAACATTGAGGTGTCATAAGAGAAAAAATGCTCAAAGAGGTCTTGATTTATCTGTTGCTGAGTTCAAGACTCCAAGTGTTACTCCAACAAGCCTTATGCCTATGAGTGGCCAGCAAGTAGGAAAAGAAGGAGGTGTTTTTCACTTGTGATGGTTCATACATGCGGGCACATTCCTATGAGGAAAATGCTCTTTACAGCTGTCACCAGTTTTCAATTATTCACCCCTCACTTGCCTTCTGGAAGCACAAGAACTTTTCCTGTAACAGATCTTTTTGTTTTCCTTCCAAGCAGCATACACTTCCCCCAGAACACAACGTTGCAAGCAGCAAGGGCTCTCTCATGATATTACTGAAAAAATACACCTTGCAGGGTCTGGGGAATTTAATTTTGGGGACTGCATGCTTTTTCCCAAGCTGGTTTTTTTCTGTTAGCACTTCACTGGATGATACACCCCAACCCGCTACTAAAACATACGTGACATTGCTTGGACAAGCATTTTCCAGCAGACTCAGGTCACAGCAGTTAGACAGGCTGGTCACTACAGCTAAACTGTCCCACACATCATGCTTGATTTTGACAGACGCAAAACCTTAACAAACCGCTACAATATCAGTGGTTTGACAATATTAAGATTTATACATCACCTGTGTCGTGTGCACTTAAACCAGTTTAGGATGTCGGTACAACTAGTGTAGTAGATTTGATCAAAAGGATGCGGATATGACTCTTGCACTGTAACTGAGTAACTGGGGAGAGACAGGGAGAAAAGAGGGATCACTGAGCAAGTCCTTTGTAGTACAGTCTGATTTAATTAAATTTTTTACACAATCCTGCTATAGAACAGAATAAATATAACAAAATACTCATGTGCAGCAAAATCACACAGAAAGCTCACAGAGAAAAATATATATGCAAAGAGTCACCATGTCTCTACTGTGTAACATGTTTGATAAAACTGTACTAGACATTTAAAGAAAAGTAATGTAAGCCCAAATTTTTTAAAAGACTAAAACACCTGTATCTCAAATGAGCAGCAAATCAAAGTAGTATGTAGTACATTTTCTCCTGTGGCAACTTTTATTATGTAACTGGATAGCTGGACAACTAGTTAAGGAGTCAGAAAATGAGGCTTTTTCTGTTATCACTCAAAATAGAAAAATAGAAAATAGGCCTTTCTGAAAAATTTCTTTTAAAAGCCATATCTGTGGCTATGGCAAAACATCCAGTATATTTTGATACTAATGATGTATATAATGACATATATAATGATGGATGTTAGCACAGAAATACACCTGAGTAGTAATTACTGAAAAATGACATAACAATCGTACCGTCAAACGGTCCATTCAGCAATCAGAAATTCACAAGTATTAAAGACAACACCTTATTTTGTTTACTGGCTAATTTTTAACAGAGAAATTCCCATATCACACCACCACCACCACCCCACCCTGAAATGCTGTACTGAAATGCTATTATGATTTTCTGCCAGCTATACAACTATACAGCATCCTAGAAATAAATCTGTGCTCTGAAGTCCAGAGCCTCTAAAGCTGTCAGTAGGGCAAAAAGAACAGAGCCCTGTTGTGAAAGGGGAAAATATTGAATCATCCCAGAAAACTCTTCAGGAGGCTGTTTATGCTGGCAGTCAGTCGGTCCTGATTGCGCAAGGGAGTTGGAAAACAGAGGAATGCGTGGCAAGTTCCTGCAGCAGGGCTGATTCCCAGGACCAACCAAAACACTCTGTAACCCACACAGCTTTCACTCACTTCCACCCACACCCTCTTTGACCTCTTCGCACCCACTGCAACAGCCACAGTCTCCCCTTCCTGCTGTCATCACTACACTGAGGGTAAGCTCACCCAGACCCACTTCAACTGCCCAGAACCTACTCCCTGTTTTTCCTCAAGCAGCCCTAATCCATCCAGCTGCTCCAGTCCAACAAAATATCAGTGGGATGCTGATGCTTGCCTGAGGCTCTGTGCTCTTTGTTAGACGCATGGCAGGCTCTGCCCCTTCTTGCTGTGATTACAGTTCACTTGTAAAAGACCATTTTAGTACTGACTGGAATAGGTTTATTTAAAGCACATAGCACTGCCAGTGACAGTACAGAGCTTGTATCTGGGCCTTTATTCTTTCATACTTATGTACCTTTGTTGCCTGCTCTGGGAAACAGTGTGAATGTTTCAGTAAGTTTACTTGGAATTCCTCCCTATTTCTGAGACACAGCCGAAGAAGGAAAAAAGTTCAGGCTTTTTCATTGGCATGCTTGCTAGATACATTTTTAGATATATTTTTCTTTCTGCAGGCTTTGATTAGCTTGTTTTAAAATACAGTATGCAGTCTTAATAGTTGTATTTCAGGTTTTTACCCATTTTGCTTTCACTTCATTGCAACTTCCCTCAAAACCACTTTTATCTACAAAAACTGTAAATGAAGTATACACAATCTAGAACAGTGTTCAGTAACATTGTAGACACATGCTTAAATACTCTAACAGATTCTTAGAATGATTACTACTTCATATATACATTGTTGTACAAATTGTACACAAGAGTTGAGGCAGAGATGCCAAATGCTTCACATGAAGCTCAGGTAAGTTCCTGAGGAAAGTCCTTAAGTGATTTTTTTTTTTAATAGAATCTATAAAAAAGATATACAAGTTTCGATTTTCTTTGTAAAAATTCAGCCATAACAATCACAAATAAATGTACAGTGGCTTAGCAGCACTCCCCATGATTAAACACAGCTTACCTTAAGTGCAGGAAATACCGATGTCCTCAACTGAACTGTGAAAATCAGACTGTCTCATGGACTATCTGATCAATAATGGGCATAACAATAATTATGAGTTTTGGTTTCACTATTATAATCTTTACACAAGAAAAAAAGTTTAGCAGATTCTTGAGGTTCAACCTCTCCTATCCACTGTGGCACTCTTGCGAATTAATGTGAAACTGAGTGAACAAAGGGACCAATTACATTGATGAGATTTAATTTTGTATGTTATAAATTTCTGAACCTCATAAAAATACTTAAACTACAAACCTTAATTTAGATTCTGTGAATGCTGTATAGGAAAGAATCATCATAATCAAAATTGGCCAAATTCCAATATGGTTAACTATATTTTGCATATGTAAAAGCTTCTTTTCACTTCCGTTGGAAAAAGCTATTTTTATTCACTTCTTGTACCCAGATGGTTGTGTAACATTGCTGGTACCACTGGAGTTTTTTTTGCATCCTAACTCCTACCGCAAATACAACTGCATTTCAGCCCAATGTGAAACAGTCTTTTACTTATCCATGAATGTACCTTGCCCATTCAGTAAAGTGAATTTTTTCTCCTCATTCTGTAACTCAACTAACAGCTTTAAATAATCTGAAGTGTGCCAAATAAAGCAAAGCAAAAATGGTAAATCAGAATTTGTGTCAGTTATTTTCCAGAAGAAAACATTACCTTTCCCAGTGGCTACACACGTTAGGATCTTCCAGATTCAGAGATAATGTTGGGCCCATCCAGTGGTACAGAAGTATTACAGGGAAGACAAAAAAGGAGTTCAAATGAAGAACCATCTTTCCAAAAAGATAACTGTAAGAAAAAACACCAAAACATTAATTAATCAGGGAAAGAATGTAAATGTCTTCGCTTTCCAGGATTAACAGACAGCCTCACACATAACACGACATAAAAATCTAAAATATTAACCTGACACTTTAACTAAGCAAATTATTTAAATTTGCGTATTGAAACAGTCTTAATCCAGCTGGCCATTAATCCACAAATGCCAGAATAAATGCTATTAATAGGTAATTTCTAACAACTTAAACTTCTATATTTCTGCTTCAGTGAACATTTGATCTTCTTTCCTAATTTACACTCAAATTGTGGCTACAAAAATTACCAAAAAAAAAAAAAAAAGAGATCATTGAGTCTAGTCTGTAGTATAACGAGAAAATAATTCCTAATCCATATGTTTGATTTAGCACAAATATTTTTACTAAACTAAACTAAGCAGAAGTAGAAATTTCTTACTTTAAATTGTATGGAACAGAATAAAGTGAACCACACCTATAACTAGTTCATCAGAAAAAAGTCCACAGGGCCATGAAAGTAAGAAAAAAAAAGATGTGAAATAGATTTGGTTTACAATATCCTCTTCAGAAGTCAACCTAAAAACCTCACAACAAGAAACTATTATATTTAAGATATCCAAGGATACAGAGATGAACCTATTTTGCTAAATCCTTCTTGAAAAATGAGGGCTGCTGAAACACATTTCATGGTCTGTAACAGTTTCTCTGCATGCAGGGAAGTAGTCAATGTACTATTTAATGTACTATTTAAAAAGCAGCTGTATTTTCAGCTAATAATTCCAGTGAAGTCATGATTTCATTGAAAATAGTCACTCTGATTAACCAGATAGTAAGTGGTATTTCCTTTTTTCCTTTTATTCTCAGCTTCAGCAACTTTTCTTTTGCAGGATACATTTAACAAAATTTAAAATAAATTAAAAGAAAAATTTGCATGAACCCCCTAGTGTAAAACTTGATTGCATTCCAGATCTTTTGCTTAATTATTAAGGAAAATCAGTACAGCTGATTAGCATTGCTGAAGTGATTATATTAGCAATAACAGATGTAGATGACTCATTTAACTCTTGCTGTCTACAGTTCACACTAAGAAAAACTGTTCAGAGATTCACTTTTCATATCATATACTGCTCAAATTACCTCACCCAGTAATACATGAGTATTTTCACTATCTACAGATACATAGAATCTGTAGTTCAAGTACTGAAAACGCTCATATTGGAGAATGCCTTCTGTGTGTAAGTTAGTGATTAGCAGATATATGAGAGAAAAGAAACCCCTCTTGCTAAAACAGAAAGCTTCTTCACCTACAGCACCAGATCTTTGTTCCACCGAGGTATGCAACTGAACACTAAAATCTTATTGCCTGTTAGCATTTGAGGAAAAACTTCTGTTGAAAAAGCTACATCTTTACTCACATTTTGGTCAGGAATTTTAAGGGACATCCTGTCTGTTTAGCTCAGAGACTTCTCTGCTTCCCTCAAATTTAGTGCAGGCCCATGATTTAAAAATGTTGACAAGAAAGCAGTGCAGCTGCATGAAGCAACTGTAGAGTAGCCTCCTAAGTTTCTGTAACCTAATTAGGGAAATTGAACTAATTATATGTTTATTATATAAAAGGAAGATAATCAATAGTAGTCATATTAAAAATTAATCTGATCACCCCGAGGCATATTATAATTACTTACAAGCTCATTTTAAAATGGTGTACCAGGTGTACAAAATATACAGGCACTCCCATAAAATACATTTAAATGTGAGCAACTACACAAACTACATTTGTCTCACTGGTAAGCAGATGAAAAATCCTGTATGTGGACCACATAAGCACAGCCAGTTAACTATTACTACCCATCATCTGAGATTTGTAGGCACTTTCTCTGCCACTACCAACTATGTTGACAGTTTTGCTTTGGTTTGGGTTTTTTTGCTATACAGAGTTCAGGATCAAAACCAGGGAAAGAACAGACAACTAAAAAAGGCAAACAATTGCTTCCGCTCTGTGAGGTGAAAATTGAGACATGACTACAAATTGATCTCTCCACCCACCCAGAGCAGAGGCACAAGCAAAAGCGAGAGAATGCAGCTCTTGTAACAAAAGGAAAATACATACAAGCGGAACAGGGGGAGTATAGGAAGGTACAATGTTAAATAATGTAAAAGAAGTGAAGGTTACTCAAGGCTGCAAACAAATATTTTTTGGTCAGCAAAATCAAGTGCTGCTGGTGAATTAACCAGGATTAGAACTGCATGAGCAAGAGAGAATAGTACGATACAGTTGCTAACACGACATAATGGACCCAAGACCAAGGGAAACGCTGATGCAGCTTTTTCATTACTGTTGCAAAAGCATTTTTACCACTGAAACATGAAAAATGAAGCAGGAACATGCCATTTAATTAGAAGACAAACTTCAGAACAGTAAGAGCCTTTCACAGCCTCTCATAGTATCTCTGAGATACAACCCTCATTTCAGCCTTTCTGGAGTGATATGGTACAGGGATGTCAAATCCTTCTCTGGGCTATAAACCCAAGGGCTGTTCTTAATTACATTTACATTGCATTAAATTGCACGTACAGCAAGTGTTACTGTAAAAAAATCTCCTTCTGTCCATCATAGTTTTCGTCAGCTTTCAGACTGAATTGTAAACCACACTGTCATTGCTGCAGGGTCCCTTCCTGGTGCTTTTGCCTTCACACTCTCCAGAGCAAACAAAGGCTACACCCTCATCCCAGATTTACGGACTGCTACCTGCAACTGAAAATTATGGCTCCAGATGAGATAAAGAGATTTTTAAATATTTTTTTAGTGAAGAACTGTTTGGAGGTCATGTTGGTCACAAGTATGGAGGCCATGTTGCTGAGAACACAGCTGCGCTGGGCAGGGCATGTCTCAAGGATGGAAGATCACCGCCTCCCTAAGATCTTGCTTTATGGTGAACTTGCCACTGGCTGCCCCATGAGAGGAGCCCCGAAGAGAATATACAAGGACTCCCTGAAACAACATCTCAGCCTTGGCCATATTGATCACCATAACTGGTCTACTCTGGCCTCCAATCGGGAGGTCTGGAGACACACCATCTATAACGCTGCTGATGCCTTTGAGAAAGCATGTAGGATCACCCTTGAGGAGAAAAGACAACGCAGAAAGAATCGTGCCTTGCAGAATATACCTCCTAAGGAGTCTTTCTGCTGTGCCTTCTGCAACTTGTCTATCTCATATTGGCCTTTTTAGCCACCAGTGCGCCTGCAATAAACATGGGTGGTACCCTCCCCAAACCTTCCTTCGCGAAGCCTAGCCGTGACTGAGTCTTTTTCATAACATTATACTGTCTTCACTCCTGAGGTTCAGCTCCTCTACAAGGAGCACAATTTCTTTATAAAAACATCTCTTAAACTACTAATGTCAAGGAAAGCAAAATCTGAATCTGACCTAATCTTGTCAATGATGATTAATCCTGTGCTAACTTCAGAGAAAAAAAAAAAACAAAACCAAACCCCTAACTGATTGCTTTTATTGATTACATTAGAGAATTAATGGGTGAGGAGCAGAAGGTGTTTTCCCTTCAGAAATCTGTAAATCAGTTTGACGCTTTGTCACATGAAATCTTGCTTACAAAGCAAATACAAACTAACCTGAATAGGAGCATTATTACAAAGATCCCAGACTGGCTGAAGATGTACAATCACAGCAAATGTAAACTGATTGGTCTTTTCTCAAATTGGACCCCAGCCAAGGGCCCAGAGTTGAGTTAGTATCTAAGATGCAAAGTAAAACAGACTGACCCATTTGAAGAGTCTAAAGGTACTTAAGATGAGGCTAAGCATATGAAATAGGAAAAACAATTCATTTAGACTGGTACCTGGAGAATTACCAAATCAGAGGCTGTAATGAAACACGTCTTCTTGATGAAGACAGATATGCTGCTACTCTTTTCAAGTGCCATGTTATTAAGAAAAATATATCACTAATAAATTGCCATTTTTCTTCAGTTAATAGTTAGACAATTTTTTATTTTTCAGTTTCTTAATTAGCAGAGCTTCCTAGGAAAATGAGGTTTATGTAATCACAATGTTTGCGTGTTCTAGCCTCATGTCCAATAACTTCCAAATTCACCTGTCATTTAAACTGGAAGTAACAGAGGTGAAGAAGTCTTGAATTGTAAAGTTCCAGAGAATAGTGATAATGCACAAATCTGGAGGAGACCAGACTTTATTTGCCCAAAAGTCTTGGAATTACCAGTTTTGAAAGCTACAGCATCACAATCCTTTAAGTAATGCTGCCATTTCACAGACTGCATACCTCTACCATTCCTACTAAATATAAATGCCATAATACATGATCTGATCTTAAATAACAGAAAACACCCATTTAACTGTATTAAAACTGTCAATTGGAGCAAACTTTGGAGTTTCTGGACTCTTGAAAAGCAACTCTTCTTGGCCCACCAACTTCACTCACTGTCATACAACTCTCTCACCATTCAGTGAGAGCTTCTGTAGATGCTAAGCTGGCAGGGTGATATATCCATTTATCAGTCCTCTTATCCCTCAAATCAGTATGAAAAGATGGTGGGGAGAAGACAGTTCAGTGGAAGTCAAGTTTGCACAAGGCAAGGAGGCATGGTAAAGACTAATATCAGCATGCCAGATACTTTTTGCAAATAGATTCATTATTATTCCTCAGAAGAAGGCGGCCAAACATCCCAAACATGGGGTCACTTTGCTGTAGCTGTCATTGTATGCCAAATTAGAGCCCTTCCAATTTAAAATATTATATTTTTTTTTTCAGGTATATAACAAGTACAGGTCTTGAATGTGCAAATGCGATCACTAAGGTTACCTACAGCACATGGTACTGTATGTTTAAAGATTATTCCCATGGGAAGCCAATGGGATGAACTGTCAAAAAAAAATCTTTTGGCTAAATATGCTGCCTGGTTGTTTTCCACTCAGACAAAAAGTTACCAAATAAAGACAGTTAAAG